GGTTCTCATTGCTCTCCCTGCTTTCCTTTTTCTTTTTTTTTTTTTTTTTATTATTTCTTGTAAGTGGTTGGAAATGTAAGTTGCTCCGAGAACCCAATCGGGGTTCTTTTGCTCTCCCTGCTTTCCTTTTTCCTTCTTCCTTTTTTTCTTTTTGGGAGAACCCACGGGGTTCTCCGAGAACCCAGTCTGGGTTCTTCAGGAGAACCCAGAGAAGGTTCTCATTGCTCTCCCTACTTTCCTTTTTCCTTCTTCCTCTTTTGTTTTTTTTGGGAGAACCCACGGGGTTCTCCGAGAACCCAGTCTGGGTTCTTTTGCTCTCCCTGCTTTCCTTTTTCCTTCTTCCTTTCTTTTTTTTTTTTTTTTGGGAGAACCCGGGAGAAAAAAAAAAAGGAAGAAGGTGGGAATGTGGTAGAGGGCTGATGATTGCGTTGTCTCTGCTACTGCTCTTGCACAAAATTGAAGGTTTTGGTTTGGTTAGTGAGGATGGTGAACAGCGAGGAAGAGAAAGGAAATCCTTTTTCCTTCTTCCTTTTTTGTTCTTTTTGGGAGAACCCACGGGGTTCTCCAGGAGGACCCAGAGAACCGGGGAGAAAAAAAAAAAAGAAAAAAGGAAGAAGGTGGGAACGTGGTAGAGGGCTGATGATTGCTTTGTCTCTGCTACTGCTCTTGCACAAAATTGCAGGTTTGGTTTGGTTAGTGAGGATGGTGAACAGCGAGGAAGAGAAAGGAAATCCTTTTTCCTTCTTCCTTTTATTTTTTTTTTGGGAGAACCCAGATCTGGTTCTCTAGGAGAACCCAGACCTGGGTTCTAACCCAGAGAACCCAGAAGAAAAAAAAAAGAAGAAGAAGAAGAAGAAGAAGGTGGGAACGTGGTAGAGGGCTGATGATGCTGATGATGCTGATGATTGCTTTGTCTCTGCTATTGCTCTTGCACAAAATTGCAAGTTTTGGTCTGGTTAGTGAGGATGGTGAACAGCGAGGAAGAGAAAGGAAAGATGGTAACGGAGAGTTAAGTGTAATTAACGGACAGTAACGAAACTTAAAAGGTGTGACAGAGTGTGTGAAAAAAGAGGGTAAATCTACCATTATCCGTTACGTTAATAACAAGACACATCAGTCAGTTTTCATACGAAAAGATCAACTTGGGATAAATTGGTAATCAGTAAGGACCAAATCGAGGTTCGTACAATAATTTAGGGACTAAATCAAGAAGTTTTTTAGTTTAAGGACCAAATCGAAAGTTCGTATAATAGTTCAAAAACCAAATTAGGAATTTAACCTTTATTATTTTACTAACAGAGGGTGAACCGAAGCCCGGTTATTCATCCTTAAATGGGCCTGTTGTCCACCATATCTCTAGTGCATACAGAACATGGTAGGTTAGAGTCGCTAGACTTCTTGGTGCCCTGAATTCTTTCCAGAAGAAACCCATCCCCGTTTTTCCTTTTTAAGAAAACCTTATCATAAATCAAGATTGCCTCGTGAGTCGTTACGTGGACCATTTGTTTTTAAGTTAGGTTTTGTTTATCATTGTTGTACTATTTTGTTTTTTATTATCTTAAAATATATATGTATAATAAAAATTAATACGTAATTTTTACTCTTAAAAAACAATTAAAATTTTAATTTATATATAGAATCTAAATGAGGCCTTAATAGAAAAAGTAAGCTTAATATGGTGCCTAAAAACAACCAAGTATAACTCTTAAAAGAAAGGAAAATGATTAGTACGGTTAAAAATATCTTTTAATACTCATTTAAATAAGTTATTAAGGGCTATATTTTTAAATTTATTTATTTTTAATTTTTAATTAAAAATTAATATTTTTTAAATAAATATATTATATAATATATTAAGTAAATAAGTGTACCAATAAACTCGCAGAAGAAATACTATACTAAAAGAAATACTATACTAAGAATGTCTCACTTGACCCATCCACTCCCGTAGCATATACATATCCATCATCTAAAGGTAGAAAAAAAATTGGGAAAAAGAAATAGGTAAAGACAGAAACAAAAGGAAGAGACCACAAATTAACGGAGACGACAGCAGCAAATGTCCACTCATCCTACTAACTCTTCTCTCTTTCAGGCAGAGTTTATCCATTACTGGGGAGTAGCAGCTGTCAGTTTGATTGATGCATGCTTTGTCCCAACTGCTAAATGCTTACATGCAATATCTGTCTATCTGGGACATTTCTTGTCATTTACAGTGTGCTGTAAGAAACCCAACTCCCACAACGTTCCATTAAGGCAACCTCAAACTCGAATCAAACAATGGATTAATTTTAGGAAGAGTGGGGATTAATTAATTAGTTAGTATTTATATATATATATAATGAGCACCTTCATTTTCCCAACTCTCCCTCCCAACAAATATCTAATTAATAGGACGGCATGGGTTGGCCCCAGTAGAGTCATTGTCATGCATACTTTTTGCATGACCTTCTAGATGATATACTTTCTTTCTTTCTCTAATTATAACCCCTTTTTTTGTATTTAACTATACATTATCTCTTCTTCTAAGTTCTAACCTATACCACAAAAAGGAAGCGAAAAAGGTATATAAAGATATGCCAAAAACAATAAAAGGGGAGGGAAAATGGAAGTAAAGAGAAGATGTGAAGAGAGATTAAGAAGAGACAAAAGAAGTTGAAATTTCCAGCGTCAACCCACCTACCTACCTCCAGCTACCCACTTAATCTTTTTCATGTTTTGATTTGTGTTCATCCATTTTTTTCTTTCTCAGCCTTATCACAATTGTCCACTAGCCGATGTGGATGGCAATGGCTCTTCCAAAGTTTCAATTAATCCACGCCCTTTTTCTCCTCTTTTATGTTTTTTTTTTTTTTTTTTTGAACACCGAGAATTAGGGGAAGAGAGATTACAAGAGGGGTAGGATTCCACCCCACACTCAAAAGGTTAGATAGCCCTTAATTTACAATATAGAGGGGGTGACCACTTGGGCCACTAGTGTTTCTCTCTCTTCTGTTTATGTTGTTGTTGCCATATCCCCCATATCATATATTTCTCTTCTGTTTACTGTTTTTATTTGTTAGAAAAAACCGGAGGTTCGGTTTCTTCCTTTGGGGGGTTTTTTTTTTTTGCGGGGGGGGGGTTGGATTTTTTTTTCCGGGGGGAAGAGATCATTTTTTATATATTAATTTATAAAATTTTTAAATTTTAGGGGGGTGAAATAATTTTTTATATACTAATTTGTAAGGATTTTCAAATTTCAGGGGCCCCTCCGCCATTGTTTGTATGGTAGCATAAGACTTCTTGTAATAAGTTTGGAGTATCCATTATACTCTTAAAAATAAGAAAAAAAATTGTCTTTCAAAAAAAAAAATTCATGGGGGGTTTATCAATCTCTGCCACCATATTAGAAGCCTAATTGGCCTTTAGTTGAAATATTTTAATTGAATACATACTCTAAGAAAAAAGATCATGTACAAAAAAATTCCTACCTAATTACTTGATCCCTTGATACTAGGGCTCACCATTTGACATTAACCATAATCTTTTATCTTACTCCAAATGATTAAATGCATCTGAATTTTAGATTATACTTACTTCAATTCTAATCTAATCTTGTTTAAAGTCGGTCTAATTATTAAACCAATAATTAGTTAAACGATGTAACATGTAACGTGCCCTATCTTGAGATGTGGAGTGTGCCATGTACCATGAATCTATATATGATCTAAGGACCAAACTTGATGGAGAATTATCTAAGGACCTTTGGTTTAAAAATTCTATGGAAACATGTCAAAGCAGGGTGGTAGGATTGAGTTAGGAATGTAATGCAAGCTGTACTGGGATTGAGAATGTTGTATGTTCTAAGACTTTCACATAAGATGATATAATGGATTGAAGTACTCGTTGTACTCCTTTTATTATTATATATAATAATATTTTATTGATTGATAAAAAAATTAATCATGGCAACTGATGGTACCAAATAATTAACGGATCAATTAGATCGTCTCCATCCAATTAATGAAAATGATTGTCATTTTCTTAAATTGATTAAAATCATTAGTAACTTAATATGGCTCTAATTTGCAAATGAAGCATCACTTTGATAATGATTAAAAGGACATGTTGAAGCTTAACATTATAATTCTATACAAAACCGCACCCTCTCTAGATATTTGGCTAGATCATCACAACATCAGCATTTATGTTTTTGGATGTATCAATATTTAAACTTTTGGTTCAATTACTCTTACAAGAATCAAGATAGCAGGGGCCACAAGTTATACAACTATTTGTACTTAAATGACTATGAAGGAATTTAACCTTAGATTTTTAGCAAAACTCACATCACCCTTTATTACTTAACCTAACACGAAGAGTTTGATAAATAATTTGATAATTAACACTAATTAGTATGCCTTAAAATTAAAAATAAATAAATTTAAATATATATACAATTATACATATATATGATGTAAAAATTAATTAAATCAATTATATTTACTATATTTTAATAATTAAACTGAATAAATATAAAAAAATCTATAAAATGAAACAATAAACTAATCATTTTCTAACGATAAAACTTTAAGAGATGTATATGAGGGTGAATCTATTGCACATGTGGGCACAGGAACACTAGTGGTTAGGTAGAGGTTGCATTTGGTGAGCGTCGCATCGCATCATCTTTGCTTATTATTCACTAAACCATACCTTATCATCTCATAAATGGAGCTGCATGAAGAAGACGTGTGTTCTTCTTCTTTACACGTCAATAACAAGATATTTTTCATAAATGAATTAAAGTGTAGGTATTAATAACAAAAGGGGGAAGCAAAAGCTTAGTTAGGTTGTAATAGATGAATAATTAATTAAAAATATCTTATTTTATAATTTAAATTGTAAAATATAATTTATTAAATGTGATAATATAAAAAACTCTTCTTATTAAAAAAATTTAAATTGTATAATTTAAATTATATATCACTTTTTTTATTAATTAAAATGATATATTTTTTCTTGGAGGAGATGAGGACATGTTTGGCTGGCCAAAATCCCATTCCCATTAATGCTGGAATCCAGTACCCCACTGTTTGGGCACATGACTCCGTCTCCTTCACTTCACCAATCATCCACCAAACTTTAACTAAATGTTCTCCTCTCTCTCTCTCTCTCTCCATTATTTTAATCACAGGTACTGGTTACCTACCTCCCAAACATGTCACATGCGCTGCTTTCTCTAAGTTTTCTCTTTCTCCCTCCACCAATCAAATTATTAAGATGCTCAAATTCCATGTCACTTTGGAAGAAAAGATCAATCAATTTCGTGTTAAAGGATTTGCAAACATCAGACACATTTCCATATGCCGGCACTATCATTGACTTTCATCTTTTCCAATCACAGGTGACATCCTAATCCATTTATCACTTTGATGGTATATATGTTTGAAGAATTCTACCATTTTCCATTGATTTGTTGCATACTAGATAACTTCTTTTTTTTTTTTTTTTTTAATTTATGAGTTTAAAATTGTATCCTCAAATCAAAACCATAATTATTAAATAAAGAGATATATAATTTTTATTTTTAAAAAATTTATTTTTTTATAATAATTTAAATGATATATAATTTAAACGGTTTATAATATATATTTTTTTTTATTTATTTGTATCACTTAAATAGTTAAATGTGAATAATGAACGCCTACTAATGTGATTTTGACTACTTGAATACGTTGTTAAGTGTTGAAACTTGAAACCTTAATTTTCGGCCGTCCATGTGTTATTGTTGAAATAGGGACAATTCATAACCGAACCAACATTGCAATTTTCAAGTAAGAACCAAAAAAAAAAAAATTGCGGTGGGAGTTTTTGGCGGGTAAAACGTGGAGATGAGATCCTTTATGACTTTCCGGAGTGGGATATGTGGGTCCCATCATAAGATACCAACCCAAACATGTGTTTATTTGTTTTTTAAATTTTTTAAAAATAAT